CAATATTTTCTGGTTTTTTGTATGTGTTTCTTTTGTACGTGTTGTTATTGAAAACGTTGATGGATAATGAAGACCTTAAAATGTTTGGGTCTTTTTGACATAGGTATGTAATCGTATGATGAATCAATGGAACCCAAAAAATCGAGGGTTAGTTGGAAAGAGAATATAGTAAAAACCTTCCTGGAGTGTTGTCTACAAGAGATGTCCATGAATGGAATGCAAGGCGGTAGCCTTAAGATGCACTCATGGAACAATATAGCGGAAACATTAAAAAGAACTCACAACTTCATTGTCAATCAAAGACAAATGAAGAATCACTATGATTATTTACGAGAGAAATATGCTGTATGGTCTAGACTTAGGAATAAAACGGGCAATGTTTATAACCCAACAACCAACACATTCAATCTATCTGAAGAGGAGTGGAAGGCAGAGGCAAAGGTCAATTCTTTTTCTGGTTTTCTAATTTAATTTCCTTATATTATTCTTTTAGTTATATGTTTTTAATTTTTTTATATACAGTTGAGTAAATATGCTGACAAGTTGAGGAATGCACCACTACTTTATCCTAATCTTTGTATGCAAATTTTTGATGGAGTGGCGGCCACGGGTATGGGGACATGGGGACCTTCGTCTACTTCTCATAACCCTTCGCGTGTTGCTAATGTTTCTAATCCGCCTTTAGTTGATGATCAAGTCTTGGATACCACACAAGCACCTCCAATTTCAGATCAAACGCCTCCTATTTCAACTCAAGGACCACCTAATTCAACTCAAGGACCATCTAGCTCGACACAAGAATGTTCATCTCGTTCTCAAACTAGAAACCGAAAAGCTAATCAACCATTGGTAAGGGAAGATGAGTTGGCTCATGTGGTGACACATGTGAAAGCCATTTTTGACAAACCATCGGAGGACGGGGATATGGACGCTTGTATGTCAAAATTGGAGAAACTTGGTTGGGAAGATAGCCCGTTATATGACATCACACTTTTCCTTTTTAGCCAAAACATAGATTATAGGAGAATTTGGCTACGTTTGAAGGATAAGAGGTGTGAGTCATGGGTTAACTTTACGGCACACCAACTTAACTTAAAATAAGCATGTGATGTTTGATATTGATGTGGTATTTAGCCGACATGTTTTGTATGGACGAGTATGAAACTTTATCACTTTTTGGTGTTTTCTGTATGGACGAGTTTTGGAATTTTAATATGTTCAGTTTGATATTATGTCATTTTTTAGTGTTGATTTTTTAACTTGATATTTTTGTTGTTCTAGTTGTATGTTAAAGATCTATGTCATGTATGAAACATAATACGATGTTTTATGTATTTCGTATTTGCAAGGTTATATGGATCGTAATCAATTAATGATGATTGTGGTGATTGCATACTGGTATTTGAGAAGAAGAGCTGCAGCAAGAATAGAAAGGAGAGAAAGAATAAGAGATAACAATTCAAATTTGACCGGGCATGCGTATACACAAGAACTATTACGTGGGTCTAATACACAATGTCATGAATTGATGCGTCTATCTCGTGATGCTTATATACTATTGTGTAACCATTTTAAACAAAACAATTGGTTGCAATCCAGTAGTCGTATAAGTGTTGAAGAGAAGATGGCAATGTACTTAACTGTTATTGGTCATAATGAACGTTTTAGAATGGTTAAACAGAGATTTCAACATTCGACACGAACTATTCATATATGTTTTCATGAAGTGCTAAATGGAATGATGGAATTCGCAAGAGAAGTCGTAAGACCAACATCCTTCGATGGAACTGTGAATATGTCACAGAGAGTCAGAAACCTCAAAGAAATATTTCCGGTATGTTAATTGTTTTTATAAATTGTAAAACATGAGAAGTTCTTATAATATTGTTATATATAATTTATGATTTTCTTACAGGGGGCTATAGGCGCACTAGATGGAACTTTGATACATGCAGTTGTGCCTATAAATCAACAAGCAAGATATAGAGGAAGAGGAAGAGGTGATTGCTTTCAAAATGTTTTGGCAATGTGTGATTTTAATATGATATTCACATATGTTTGGGCTGGATGGGAGGGCATTGCACATGATGCTAGAGTTTTGAGAGAAGTTGCATTTGACCCAAATTCGAGATTTCCATTTCCTCCACCAAGTATGTATAATTCTTTTTATATTAGTGAAATATTATTATTTTTTGTCTTCTTTTAATTATATTTGTAAATGCAGATAAGTATTATCTCTGTGATGCTGCATACCCGAATACTCGTGAATTTTTGACTCCATATCGCAATACACGGTACTGGTTAGCTGATTTTCGACGCCGACGTGCGGTAACTAAAGAAGAAAAATTCAACCATGTGCATGCACAACTTAGAAACGTTATCGAACGTGCATATGGCGTCTTGAAAGCAAGATTCCCAATTCTGAAGCAAATGGCTTATTATCCTTATCCAAAACAAATAGAGGTAGTAGTTGCTTGCTTTGCAATCCATAATTTTATAAGAAGATGTAATATCCAAGATCAACTGTTTATGCAATATGATGAGAACGCCATGTTTATTGCGGAAGAGCAACATGGAGGAGGCATTGAACAAGAAGTCGTTGAAGTACAATGGGGGGCTTCTCAAGACAATCCCCCTACAGCAAAATAGGCACAAGGAAAGGATCTTGGGTATCATCCTCGATACTACTAATAATCAAGTGAGACACAAAATTTTTAGTACCATCCAACCGAATCCAATTTAATTCATCATCAATTGAATCACTGTTTGCAACCCAGGATTCTATTTTATCAGCCGGCGACTCATAGGCAGTGGCTTGGTTAAGGGAACCCACCATATGGCTAATATGCGGGATCAGATTGCGACTCAACTGTTTTCAAATGTTTCAAATTAACTTTCATTGTCTAGGATGAAAAACAAACAATTTCTTTTGTCATTAACGTTTCATATCCCGTTTGTATTTAAGTATGAACGATTATTAATATATTTTTCTATTTAATTTGAAGTATGAAAATTATATTTTGTTGTCTTATTTAACAGTTAACATATGAAAAGAAGTAAAATTGTATTATTTTTATTGGTAAACATTTATTTAAAATATACATTTTGTTTTTTCTCTTCCATTAAACTATTAATAACAAAAATAATCATATATTATTCAATATATAATTACAAATAGGGTCATATTGGTCATTATATTTTTGGTAAGTACTTACCAAAAACATTTGGTAAACATTCTTACCCGGGAGAGCACTTAACGGGATAGCACTTACCCGGGTCAGCACACTTACCCGGACAGCACTTACCCGGTAAGATTTGGTAAACAGCCCCTAATTGACCACAAACGATCATCTGGTCATTGATCACCGGCACTCTAAAACTTGTAACCTCAACCCCAAATTAATTTCAGGACAAAACGCTATCTCCAACATTGTATCATAATTTCGTCGTGTAAACTCGTCTTGTTGGCTAATTTTATTACGGAAAGAAATGAAGGACAAAAAACCATTTTTGTTAGGTTTTTTAATATACAAAGTCTTTAAATTATCTAAAATCATAAATATGTTCATACACTAGTTATTATTCACAGATTGGACAACTACTCAGTAAATGGTCCTTTTACAGATTTATTTGCATCATTTGGTTTAAATGCAAGGCCCACTCTAATAAACACGGTCCTGTTCATCAAAAATCAAATTATTTGGTCTCGTTTACCAAACACTTATCCAAGTAAGTACTTATTAAGTCACATTATCTTACTGGATGAATATGGTAGGACTAAGAATCTTACCCGGTAAGAACGAAACAAGGACCATGAGTTTATCCGGTAAGTGAGGACAACGACTCTTACAAGGGCGGATCTATTAAGAGGGTAGTGGGTTTCCGTGCACCCGCTAACTTAATTATTGTAATAGGAAAAAAATTAGGCGTCTGAAATATACGCTCACTTAATTTTGAAGGGTGTCCTTAAATACTCTAAAACCAAATTTACAATAGAAATTAAACATGATGAATTAGGAATATAATGCAAGAGGTCACACGTTCAAATCTTATTTCAAGTAAAAGTATAATTTCTTATCTTTTAATTTTAGGCTCCACGGTTGTATAATGCATTAACTGAGTCCCTATATATAATGCTCCTAGGTTCGAACCCGTGTATTACACAGGATATTTTACGAAAATTAAATGAAAGCGGTATGCATTTTATAAAGAATTAATAATAATATGAGTAAATATCAAGAACTTGTAAAACAAAATTTATAACATAATGTAAATGTAATTATGGAAAGGTAAGTAGTTAAAATATTAATAGAATAACAATCACGTATCATAAATTATTAATTACTTATTTATATACAACATTCTTTTGTTCTATTGTTAATTATACCATCATCATCTATAATTAATACTCTTAAACCTTGTCTGTTTTTAACTCTAGATAAAGCAACATATGTCTTACCACGGGTGAAGACCGGTTTTTTTACAAATAAACTAACCTTTGATAATGACTGTCCTTGACTTTTATTTATGGTCATGACAAAACATACAACAATTAGAAATTATCTCATTTGAAATAATTCTTTTGTCTATAGGTGTCAAAGACATTCTTGGAATAAATGTTCGGCTTCCAATATTGGTTCCAGATATAATCTCTGCTTCTATAGCCCGATTTCCCAAAGATAACACCCGTAGTCTAGTTCCATTACATAATCCATATTTCTGATCAATATTCCTTAGTAACATGATTGAAATACCGACTTTTAGTAATATCTTATGGTTTGGTAAACCTAATAATTTAACACCATTTAAGACATTAGGTGAGTACAAAGTTTTATCAAACTGGTCGTGAAGTTGGTCTGTTTCATATAGGCTATCTGAACTTAATTACTCATTTTTGTCTCCTGGGAACAATGATATCAAACGGTCATTTATTTCTTGAACGACTTCATGTTTTGGTGCAAGAATTGCTCTTTCCGGAAAATAAGATGAATTCTAGATGTTTACAAGAATTGAAGGATAAACAAATTGAATAATGCAGATACAGGATCCATTGAGTCGATAATGAGAAAATCATGAGGTATATCAACAACTGCCTCACCATCATTGACACTACCACCTTGCCTTAGCCTAAGTCCAAAATCCAGTTTGAAAAAACCCTTTGTCTGTTCAATTTCAGAAGATTCACTGTCAACAGTTAACCTCATGTTCTTAGTTAACCTTAGGACTTTGCATTTTTCCCAAATGTAAGATGAACTTAACGACGCAGTAACAATGTCTTGTCTACTTGCGTTGGGAATAACCGGCAGAATTTGTCTAAAATTTTCTCAAAAAACAACTACCTTGCCACCAAAAAGCATTTGTGAGTCACTAATGCCTTGACTATTAAAAAATATCGTTCATACTTCTATCCAATGCTTCAAATGCATGCCTATGAACCATTGGTGCCTCTTTTTATTAAACATCATTGTCTGGTTTTATGTGACAAATAGAATATTCATTAATAATTAGAGGGATTTGAAAGCGATAGTGTGTTGTCCTATCACCAGTAAGAAGTAAAGACGCAATGCCACTGGAAGCAACGTTTAAAACAATTTCTCCTTTAGATCTTATTGATGTAGCTAATGTCTTCCATAGAAATGTTTTACCTGTTCCGCCAATGCCCATAAACAAAAAACACACCACCTCGGTTATTTTCAACAACTGTGATGATATCGTCATAATCACCTTTTTGCTCATTTGTTAGAGCAGTTAGAAGTTGATGAAACTCATCACGTAGATTAGCTATGTTATAATCTAGCTCCTCCTTAATCAAACGATTGTTTGAAGATTCAAGAGAATCATTATCCGGGTAAGGCATAGTGGTGAATTTTTTACGCTGGAATTGTTATGAAGTAAAATCTTTTCAATTTCAAACAATGTCAGGTTCTTGACCTGTTCTTCATTGAGAGATAAATCTTTAAAAAGTATAATGTAAATGTAAACAATCATTACATAAAAATTAAAAGTAAAAAACAATTTAAGAAAGAACATAATACTTAACAAATACAAAAACAATAAATTATATAGTATTTAAATAATAATTGTATAAATCTATATTTATAATAGATAATTAACATGCCTGAAGACTTTAGTGCAATTCGTTGATTGTAAAGAATGCTATCTGCTAAATATTGCCATGTTTTTTGCCAAACAAACTTTGGTCTAGACAGACTGTTTGAAATTATCATGGTTGCATTTAAGAAGCGTAGATAAAAACTAGATCTGGTTAAACTTGCTTCTTCAATGACATCAATATATTCTTTGTCATCATCTAAAAGCTCAAGAGCATAACATGCATCTCTAAAAGTAGGAAATATATTTTCATTTACTGTACGAATGTCTTCGAATGATTTCACTTTATTCAAAAGAATTCTTGAATAATATGTTTCTTCTAGAGTAGGCACAATTAAAGACATTATTACCACTATGTCAAGATAACTCTTTGTTAGTTTTTCTCTTTATGATTTTTGTTTTTTCATGATTTACTTTCTTTCCCACTGTAATTTCATTCTAAAAATCACCATTTTTTTTATTATCTCATTTTCAATATAACATTATTTATTTTAAAGATCAAGATCGATTCATTTGAAAAAATAATTATTTTATTCTTTAAATCGATACGATTGACTATTTCTAGTCAAACTGCCTTACCTTTTTCCTAGGTAAAACCGCGATTTTGTAGGATTTTAATTCGCCTTAAAAATACATCTATTCAGAAAATCTTGGATCTACCAATGCTAAAAAACATTAACACGTTAGAGATTGTGAGATAATATTCGATCTTGTTTGTATAAGTTTTGATGCAAGGATAAACTTGTATCACATGTAATCCGTTAAATTGACCAAAAAAATTCGAAAGGTTTTTGGTAAGTTTTTGCATCTATCAAAAAGAAATTTGAAAATTGAAACTTTTTGTATCAACTGGAAATCTAAAAAATAAATGGATTTAAAAAAATAAAAACATCTTTGATATTAGTAATATATTAGAAGCGTATTCGCGCAATGCAGCGAGATACATCGTGATTTTAATATTTCATTTTATTTTATTTATCTCAGTCGATGTTATATTATGACTTTATGTGATTTTGAGAAAGCGATAATGTTTTTATTTTTAAATAAAATATATGTTTGAAGATATCATAAAAATTTGACAAAAATATATCGATATTARTATCAAATTAACTATTTGAAATTCCTCATTTTTTTGTGTAATTTTTTAATTCAATTTTTTTATAATTTAAGTTATATACAATAACGAAGTAATTTA